GGTGCGTGGGGGTGGGGGGGGGGTGTAGTTTTCTTCGGTCCCTCCATGCAAATTCCAGGATAGTACCTTAAATTTGGTCATGACCACTTCCTTCCATAGCTTTTCCAATTCATTATTAACTATCATCCTCTCATTCAACACTATACAGTTAAATAAACTATAAATAAATATTAATATGAGGCACAGGATGCTTAAAATATATTCACAGCAAACTTATAATTTAGAATATACAAGAAGAAATAAAATCTGAAATTCTTGTCCCTTGGATTTCATGGTGATTTTAAATTAGCATTTTGCTAGCATATATAATACTTTGTTGTAGAACAACATATGTGAATTTCCGAAATTAGTACTAAGTGTTCTTGATATGAACTGTACAAAATCATTGGGAATTTTAAAAAATGTGAACAGATAATAAAGGAAAGACTACATGGTACTTACTTATGGTTTATTTAACAATACTTTCAATATACCATATTAAATAATATAAAATGAAAAGATGAGTAGCAAATAATAAGCTGGAAAAAATGTGGAAGAACATGGTTGTGGCATAACTAGCATGATCCAGCTAGCAGTATGCAGGCCACATAGTCCTAGACCTCTTGTAACCAGGTCCATAAAATTACGTTACTTTGTTACTAGTTATTACAAGCTAATTTATTTTCTTTGCTCCAAAGGATTCTTCTTCTTCTTCGAGTGCCTTCTCCACTAGCGAAGGTTAGCGATCACATCACTAAACTTTTCACGATCCTGTGCGAGATGGAACAAGGCAGAAATATTTCTTATCTGCTGCTTTGCATACAACTGCCATGCACACTACTGACTTTAAAAACCCTCAATAAAATGTATGATTTACAGGTAAATACTGTTAGATACAAGCTGTTGCAGGAACAAATATTTAATTCCATATTAATTTGTATACATTTCAATACAATTTATATTAAGCACATACTGAGGACATAATGTCAGAAGGGATTTCTTGGCTCTTGGGTTCAATGGGAAAACTATTCCTGTTCTGACAGAAGAAAAGAGTTATACTACCCCACTTTAAGATACTGACCTGGCATTTGGCTTGAGGGACTGGGTAAAACTAAAAAGCTGTCAAGTGCATAAAGTGGGTACTAGCATGCAGTGACAAAACACAGAAACCTGAGACATAATTTCTACATTTACTCCAACAACTTTAGTCTACTTCAGAATCTTCTGGACCTAAATTCTGCAATGTGTTTACTTACCTGATATTAATATTTTGTTCAATAATCACATGTTTATAAATTTCATAACACTGCATAAAAAATACGGTTTAGATTCAAAATATGTTCGCACAATTGCAATTTACTACTTCCTTGAGATCACTTCAGCAGTAGTTACAGAATTAAACCAACTTTTCTGTTGTCAAAAAACAACACAACTATTACTGGCAATCGGTCACACTGCATTTATTATTATTATTAATAATACACTTGCTACAATAAATGGCGTAACAAATAAGTAAATTTTGATTGCGTACTCGCCTAGACTTTCTTGCTTTAGGACGCACCTTGCATTAGTTTAAAAGAAAGCAACTAAAATGTGTTCTTAATTTGCGTATCATGTTAAATGCTACGAATACTAAACTTCCGCTAGTTATTTAAAACAAAACCGATGTAATAACACCAAAGCTTTCAGTTCCCTACAACGACACGAATTTTCGAAGCTGGTGCTACTAACAATTCACCGAACAATGTTATGTTCATTTTGAAAACACACTGACTTAACCATACACACACTAAAACTAGCGTAAAATGTTTAATTGGGGGAAATCTTTACTGGATATGGAAATAAACCATTTAAACAACAAATAATTTATTATATTAGTATAAAATAAAAGATGTTATCATGTGCTCACCTTTACATATAATCACCGATGACCAAATTTAATAATATTTTGAATTCTTTGGAAGAAGAGACATCTTCAAACCAGAGTATTTAACTACAATGGCATCGTTTATCTAACATACAGTAGATGTCGCAGAACCACTATTCGGCCAATGTAACTACATCGTTCACTTTATTCACAATAGATGTCGCTGACAGCAAAGTGACGTGAACGTGCACATGTTGGTAGAAAATTCTGGAATCCTTTCATGTCTACCATCGATGTATTTACACACTTCTTGGATAGATGGCATGACAGGATATCTTTTTGACACAAATGGAACCAGCTGCACAAATAGTGTTGATTGTCCCAATTTTCAATAAAACCAAATCTTTTCACATCTGAAAACTTAATTTGGCCTGTGTATTGTCTCATCAGAATAGTAGTAATTTTCTTTTCAGAATTCAGTAAATGTACTTATTTGCAAGGAATATGGCCTATACCAATGGGCTAATCGTACTCGGGCTGGTAATAACATTAAGAAATAATATTTATAAAATTCCCTAGTTTCTCGCGGCAGTAGTTGTTTTGTTATCGATAAAACACGGATTTATGCTTTGAGTTATATTTACTTCAATGTTAATGGTTTCTTACAGAAATGATTATGGCAGTCTAACGACTTTATTACGAAAACTGATTGAATGTTTTCATAACTAAGTCGCCGACCAAATTATGGAACGTGATCTTGTGTTTCGCTCCTTATGTAGAACTTCAATCAACTACTTTCAATTCCAAGTCTAGGTAATTGTTCTAAGGACCTCTCTGCAAAAAATTTTAAGTCAGTCTTTTCTTCTCTCTTTTTAGAAGGTTGTACAATGCGGAGAGGGCGAAAGGAAATATTGGGTAGACCTAAAGGATTAGTATTATGTTTGTCTTCCTGGAACAGAAGTGTTACGTGGCCATTATAATAAATTTAGTTCGTATTGAAGCAAAACTAAGAGATGGTAAATAGGTTTACAAGAAATAGGAGTACTAAAATTGCAATAAGGTGGAGGGTAGAAAGTTTACTGTGCACATTATTTACTATTACTCTGTTTCTTGTTGTTCTTTTTTCCTTTATGTTTTTTTGTCTCATGTTATTCCTCTCTCTCGTTCTGTTTTTATTTCTCTTATTACGGATTATTGAATTAAACGGTCACGAGGTTCGCAGTACTGTTTTGTACACTACTTGATGTAAAAAAAATATATTTTTGAACACTGAGTCCGTACTCTGGAGATCGTATCAAGAAGGAGAAGGGTGGGATTATGGTCGTCGACCAGTCCGTCTATCCAACATGGCAATTTTCTCCTTGCGCAGCCATCTACTGCTAAAGGGGAGAAGCGATGTGCAGACAAGTGAGGAGCAGTAGTTATAAAATTGTGGTTCGCGAGATGTTGGGAGCTGAAATTGGTGCTAACAACAGTTCATCGCCGGTAGTACGTTATTATATACCGGGTTTAGATGTCTTCGTTGCAGCACCGGCTGTCCCGCCTGAGGTTTTCCTCAGTCCCTCCACGCGAATGCTCAGCGTAGTTGATCTCATAAATCGGCTCTGGGGATTCATCCTAAGTTCTCTTCTTTTGTACTATTAAGCCAGGAAACAGAATATATCACACTATACGTAATGGAAAATGTTGGCATTGTTACAGTATTTTTAAAGTCCGACAGATGTCGGGCATTCAAGAGCAGTGTGATCAGGGGTGATCAAAAAGTGATTATAACGGTGACAGAAGTGCATTGGGGTCCATTTTAAACCACTTCGATCCTACTAGACGAGTTTTAAATGGTACCACCTTTAATGACAGCACAGGCTAGAGGGCGTAACCCAGTGATATGAAGAATAAATAACTCTTCTGAAGCTTTTCATTATGCAATTTTATTCCTTCCGTTGTCATTCTACTTCAAAAATGTTTCCTATTTCTCAATTAACTTGGTTCAACTTGTCAAAGTTCTTCTAACACACGCCCTTTTTCTTTCACACACGTGGTGTCTCATTTCCCACGCTCGTGGTGAAGGCAAGGACACAGGTGTCCACCTGTAGTCATTCGATACAGGCTGTTCTCACTGCAGGTTCTCCCTGGAACGTTGTTTGGCCATTTAACAAATAGAATCAATTTTACACTGCTAATATTTTATTATAAAAAGTCGGTATGTGGGTACACTTTAGCCGAACAATTACTTCTGTTCTTGTGAGTTGGTGGCCTAGAACTCCCTTTTTTGAGGGGGGGGGGGTTCCGGAGCTGTACTGGACACAGTGGTGTCAAATAAAAAAAAATACAAAGTTTAGGCTTCAGCAAATGACAGTTTCAAAACGTGGAACGAGATATTGGTGGAGTTTACGAGAAGAAGACAGAAGGGTTCTTGTGTCGTTCACAACACGAACGTAACAATAGTAGAATAAAAATTCCGGTGTAAGGTTACTTAATAGTGCTTTATCAACTGCAAGTTTCTGTAACTTAGAGCGAAATGGTGGATTTAAGGGAATTGGAGAGGAAGCGATTCTCCTACAATGAATGATATAAATTACAAAAATTTTAAGTCAGGACAGCCGTTTTCCTCAGTTTTCCTCAAGCCCTGACAGTTTCTTGAAATAGGCTACGACAGCGTCTTTAGGAATTCCTTGGTTCTTACAACAAACGCCTTGAATTGCAGACCAATTCAGCAGGTACCCAGAAGGTACTCGTGACAAAAATGTTTTGTAACGTGGCATGTCCCTCCATGCAAACGTAGTGTTACTGCTCTGATTTTACTCATCCCTGGCAAGAGGAGGGGATGGTTTTTGTAGTACTTTGGGAGACCACCAGGAATCGCATGTATAAAGTGATAAAGTCATCATGGAAAGGGTTGCACGTAGCAAGTGAATTCTGTGACCAGTCTTGTGTATTTCCACCGTAACTTCAGGTATTTATTGTATTTTATTTGCAATTTTAAAACGTGGAATAACACTTTACAATTGTGTATAAGTATTAAACTGGTACCAATACTTGGTCTTGGTGGATAAAGCAATTTGAAGTTTTCGATGTCATTTCAGCATTAATGTTCGGAAGCAATGGCTTTTAATTAATTTTTGGTGGATGTGTGATTTTTGGCATTATTTAAACTATCTCTGTTTTATTTCCTCTGTATTTTGCCTATCTTAAAACAAAATAGTTTCGGCGAAAGGTAGATCCTGAATTACAAAATATGTAGATATAATGGCCCATTGTTAAGATGCAGTTTTCCCTCCAATTCAGAAAATCGTCTGTGAATGTGTAGAACTGCCTGGTGTGTAGTGCTACCATCAGTTTGGGATTGTTCTGTGAGAAATTGCTTCTAGTCCAATAACAGCAAGTTAAATTTAAAACAAAAAAGTAATCACAGACCATTATTCTAATCGCGGGATGTATTTTACATGAACATAGAAAAATATGAAATTTAGGTCTATTCATTGGCATTTTTAATTATCTACAAACGATATAAACCAAAACTATGTGATCGCAAATGTATTTCAGTGTTTTATTTACTTGTAGTGTCAAGAGGAAAAGGGTTATTTTTTGAGCTGGAAGTCGTATGTGGGTCTGGCTCTCGCCTGTACGCGAGAAAAATATAGTGCATGTACGGTCTATTACTTATTGCGGTAGGACATACAACGCCAAAATCCAATGAAGTAGCCTGTTAATTGTATACATTAAATTCAGTTTATATTGCTGGCATAAAAATTTATATTAATATGTGCACGCGTTTCCGTCTGAACATTTCGAGATTTTGTGTGGTCCGTTCGAAAAAGCCGCCATTGCAGAACTTGATATTGTGTCGTCTTTAGTTAGTGAAGGAAAACATGCATTTCTTCTGGGATAAAAGGTGAAGTTGCGCTCACTTTTGATTTATTTAGAGTTATTTATTATTTCATAAAATTTCTTGTGTTATATTAAATATATTAAAAGCCTGTGTGCCTGAATTTTAGTAGTACTTTATTTTGCCGCCATATAAATATAAATTACATTTCATTTATTTCTGACCATGAATTATATATATATATAACAATACTTCGTTTTGACTAGGATGTTATTACAAATTCTGATAAACTGAACTAGGCTTACACTGAGTAGTCTGGTTGGTACAAACTAGGCTTAGACTATCATGTTTGCAAGGAAACCATTTCATTATGTCAAAGAGTTTATTTTTATCCACAGTTGTACTTCTGCATTTTCCTTTTATGGTTTACATTACATTCAGATTTGGGCCTAGTAATTCAGCCCATTAGTTTTTATCCATTCTTAATAAGGTCTGAATTGTCTCCAGGTTTATAAGTTCGTATTTCTTTAATATTGTATGGATCGGCCTATAAAGCACCATGAAATTCTATGAACATTAGCATTCTAAGATTCAGTCCACATTTAATTTTAATGAAGTGAGTTCCTACAACTTTCCTGTCAAGACACATAAAGGATAAAGCCTATACGTGTATTCAGAGCTGAATTTAGGAATAGCAAATCTGACTTGGATGTGCCAAGGGTTCTTCATATCTTAAGCTCGTATTCAGTATCCGTATCATTCACGTTTAACTTCAGTGATATCAACAATAATACTAATAAACAGGATTAAAGAAATAGATAGTGCCATTGTGAACAGCATTAAACTAGCTCATGATAGTCCCCACATAGTGGCAGTTGTAAACTTGTCCTTTGTAAACCAGATAATTTACTTGTTATTTTATTAAACTACATTCTAACATATTCATAAATGTTTCTGAATCATTTTGTTGTAATATTAATTATATTATATATTATGTTTATGAAGACATGACTTTCCAAAGTTTACTTTTTATTTAATTTTTATACTAAAGTTTAAAGTTGTGTTAGTCAAAGACAATATTTAGCAACAGTGCCTTTGTGCTGAAAACACTTGTGGTTTATTGAAAGAGTTTATT